TACTAACATATGTAATAATATTGTAACTAGACGATGTCTGTTTAAAAAAACAATAAATAAAAAGCAATACAACGATTTTTACAATTTTTGTCTGTCTGTTTGTCTGTAAGTTTGTTCTGGCATCACGCAATAATTACAGTACCAAATGGGATATGATATACGGGTAAATAGGTATATTCTCTCAAATAACAATAATTTTCTAAATGAGTTTATAAGTGACAAAGATATGAGGTGACATACACAAAAAATACTACCGAATTGAGAACTACTCTTTTTTGAAGTCGGTTAAAAAACATACAGTACTCTTTCCACGTAGTATTGCACCCAACTTACGCACTATGGCTAGCCGGTGGTAACGGAGCGCAAACATGCACTGCCGAATCTGTACTGAATTATTCATGAAGCCGCAACCACCTGCCTTCCAACCGACAAACTAACATTTGGTCTCATAAATTACAGTATTCCAAATAGGAAAGGGTGATGTGGTCAAAAATACATAAAAACCTTATCACATCTCATAATCATTATGCATCTATGAAATGTTATAGTCTATTCATTCAACACATAAGGAATAATACACATACATATGTGTACTACACACACGCGCGCGCACACACACACACACACACGCCCACACACACACACACACAGAGAGAGAGAGAGAGAGAGACGAACACGCACGCAATTATAACTATATCTATACAGCATAGATTGACGGATACTCTTTATTGTTTCCTCCAAAAGATTACAATAGTAAATTTATTATAAATATAAACAATTACAAAAAATAATCACAATGAGAAAACAATGGGCGACCTTATCACTAAAAGCGATGACTTCCAGGTAACCCTTAGGTGGAGAGGACTAATTATATACAGTATACACTCACACAAGCATACAATATCAAGTCGCAATAAGCCTTCGATTTAGTTACCTCTCTTCTGGTGGGGCATTTTATACACGGTTGTCTGCATGAATCTATTTCGTCTACCTAACAGATATGCAATGTCTGCATAGCTACATTTACATAGCTGTAAGTACAGATACTCATAACACCTTAAACTTTACACTAATTATAAATTCTCAGGAATGGCAAATTATGGGCGTCACAGTATATTCTGAGATGTCTATGGTTCTATTCATGTTTCCGTCATAAACAAGTCAGCTTGCTTGTAACTTAAAGTAGCTTAAAAAACTTCAATCATTTGTGTTTTTCCATTACTATCACAGTGTCTTAAAAATAAATTACAATTGTACTACTAAATTAAACACAGAATCTCTAAAAATTCTTTATAAATCTCTATAATAAATTTTATCAAGAATTCGATACATTATTTTGTACACATAAAACTTATTAAACTGGAACACTCCCAACGCGAATAATAATTGAAGATGCAAGAGATATCACTTTCAATGACAAATGAGAAACGCCAACATTTTGGAGCGAGGCGGTTGAAATTTGTTAAAGCTCCCCATCTTATCTTTCTACGATTGTGCCACCACTCTATTACAACGCAACAAAAGCTAAAATCCCTTGTCGAAATACAACACGGAAAACTATTTTGTTATTTCGAGACAACCGACTTGACGTTTGAAAATTTTAAAAATCGAATGCGCTAAACGTGTTCCTCTCCATTCAAACCAGCATCATTGACGTCTAGAGAGCACGATGTACGCAAACTATAATGCCGCAAACTTTTTTTGCGTTAATATAAACCTTATTACCGTGCACGTTCGAAAATTTGAATCGATCGAACAGCAAAATATCTTATGTTTTGCAAAGAAACTGTTTTGTTCCACGACCCCAGTCGCGAGACGTGCATTCGATATTAAAAAATGCTCCAGAAGAAATCTTAAATTCAATAGTAATTTGGCGTTGAAAGGCAAGGGAGAGGATAATGGCAGAAGTCGTACGCCCTGTTTTTGCGGTGTTGTATTAGTTCGCGAATTTCTCTAGGGTCGTTTTGTGTACACACTGGTTTCTGAACACAGCATGTGTCTGTAAAACCATGGCGGCAATGAATAAGTCCCAGGTCCGTAATTACACAGTCAATTTGGTCGGTAAAGCGGCAAAATGTGAGTTATTGCTTCCAGCGTAACCAAGATGAAATCGGCCATATTGAACGATCTACAAAAGGCTTTTTGTGGATACAAAAATTAGGAACAATTTAGCATAATAACTCGTTTCGTAAGCGATTAGACGATGTTATTGGCATATAATGACAATCAGTGTTATTAGAAATTCAAAATGTAAATTAATTTTCTTTTTTATGTAAAGTACATTTAGTAAACCAGCAGGGAATTATGGAATCATTATACTCGAAGTTTTTTTAAATTTCAATTTTGTAGAAAAGAATAGTACTTACTGTTAATAAACTCATTTAAAATTCAAAATGAGAACATAATTCTAAATCGTTTTCTAAATTTAAAATCATCTCAACTCTTTTTGTAAATATTTTTCATTCATTAAAATGATTGCTTGCTCTCGAAAATGACCTCATATAATATTAGATGTTGTACAGAAATATCAGTCTACTAGCGAGAATATAAGCTGTTCCAGGAAGCAACATCACAAAATCAGCTAGACAAGTAAATCTGCTCTACTTGATAAAAATAAAAATGCATTTATGGCTTTGCGACCATACAGAACTTGTGAGAATGAATTCATAAGAAAAATGTATGTATGACACTAGCAACTCTTTCAAACGGTCATATGTTCGTTTACGTTTTTCCTTGTAAAAAAAATCGAAGTATCTACATTATTAATTATAAAGTGTCTAAGATGTCTAATAGGTCTAACATATTGGACATAATATATCATTATACCTATCTGTAGAATGAAGGGCGCGCAGCTAACTGAGGCGGTCAATAACACCCCTAAAGTCTGGTAGGAACAGACCGTGTGCAACAGTCGCTCTAGTATCCGATTTTATTCGCTTAGTTTATATAAAACCTTATGCCACTGTAATAAGGTAAAATTTCTATGGACTTTGAATCATTACACCAGAATTCAGGTACAGGTCACCGTGAAAAATGTGAATTTATTCCAGTGCCATGTTTTTCAATGCTAAGTTATGCTACTATCTATGGTTAATCATTCCAATTATGAAATTATGACAGCTCTTTCTTTTTTATGAGGTTTTTTAGTCATGTTGTCACCATTACAGTAATAAACCGACGGACAGTAAACATTTAATACGCATATTTCGCGACTCAGTACGAGAAACGGTTTAACACTGTAAAATTTATGTGTTGAAGAGAAATGGGATGTGAACCTACTACCCTGAATTCTAGATTGTTTATGACTTTAACACACTTGGAATACCGTAAGTAATAACTGAACGGTATGGTCAAGTAAAACTTAGTAATACAGGACTTAACAAATTGGCATTGATTTACAATAATGACAAATCATACATACAAACATACATATCTGTCACGTCTGTCTCCGACACAACGACAAATCAATATAATTTTATTTATTTGCGAAGAGAAAAATCATAACCCTATTAATACATAGAATATTAAAGTTTGTAAAAATATTTGGAAATTTGTTACTCTTTCACGCAAAAACTACTAAACTGAATTGAATTAAATTCGATACACATATCACAACATATAAGATACTGTAAATACTGATGTAATAAATACATAAATAATAAATAAATACATAAATAATGAATAAATACATGCAGGTAATTTTTGCGAAATGCAACTTGTTTAAAAAAATCACATACTATATAATTTTTTGATGAAAACTCATAAATGATATTTGGAGTATTATGATCCATTAGCAAACACCTTTTTTTTAATAAGAACATTGATTTTTTTATTTAATTGATTGATTGGCCGCCTGATGGCAGCATATGAACGCCTGCAATACAAATTTTTGATCCTGAAGACCTGCTGTAATGTTTTGGAAAAACCTCGACAAAGAACTCATTCCATAACCTGAGCAGTCGTGGAAGAAAATGTCGTCAAAGATGACGACGGTGATATGATAGACAGAATTACACTCTAGATTTTGCAATAGACAATTTTCGTAGACAAAGAGACAAACACATCACTATTATAGTAGCCACAGTCGGGTAATGTCTTCAAAAATGTCAGATGAGAGCTGATTGCATTATAATACATAACGGTCTTTAAAATCCATGTCATGAGCTTACAATAACCGCGTCGGATATCGAATCGACGTCACGACTAATCGCTACCGTTATCGGCCATGCGCGTACAATACAATATTTTAATGGCAACCATTCGAATTATATGCTTCATCTTTTTAAGCGTTTTCAACACTTGTTCTCATTCATCTATGGGTTTTATTATATGGTATGGTACTTTACTTTTTATAAATTATATCTTGGGTTCGATGGTTAGTAGAATCACTTTAAGAAATGTGTTCACTTTAGATGAAATAATTGCATGGCAACATTCTCGATAATTCATAAAAACATTTTATTCTTGTGTGTGGCAATAAATAATTTTAATTGGAGGTAGAAATATAAAAAAAGTTATTGGTGTTTGCTCTTAAATACAGAAACAGAACAGTTTTGTCGTTGTCGCTTATTAAGTATTAAGTATAAGATTTAATTTCACAATCGTGAGACTTTAGTTTTAGAATTTAATATCTTTGTTTTATAAAAAGAACTACGCAAAAGATAATTTCTCGTGTCATTCTTAAATACTTAAAAAGACAATTCAAGATTGAAACGTCTGTCGGAAGATTCAAGATCGAAACCCTTAGTTCTTATAACATTTACGAGGTAATCTCAGGTAACTTTAGCATGCTTTAGGGAACTGAGTGATCTGAGTATATTATAGCCCCGTTACAACTTGAATATTACAAAAATATAAAAGTTTTTGTTGCACAACGTTATTTTCATAAACTGAATGGCATTGATAACAATATTAACTAAAAATGATCAGTAATACTTTAGTATTATTATTGTTTTTTCTCATATTTTCTCATTATATTAAATACATTTATTTCGTTACAGGTACATAATGTTGAAGTGGGCTGTACATGGCAAAAAAAATCAGGAGGTCAGAAACAATAACGAAATTGAAATAGATCCTGTACCTTTTTCAAATGGACCCAGTACTAACAATATCAGAAGATCTTTTGATGCACAATCCGTCAAAAAAAGTAAAAAACCAAGCAGATATCAAAGACGATCACTAGGTTCGACTGCTATTAAGAAAAATAATATTAAAACAGTTGACAAAGAGAATGTAAATTATATTGGTAATACACCAAATTATTTTAAAGAAGGTTTTATTAAGAAGGCCGAGAGCATAGCGCTTAAAGACGTTAGTAACATTACACCTACTTCTGGTACTCCTGTAAAGAATTTCGAAAGAAGGCGATATTACTTAAATGGTTCAAAAGATGACATACCACCAGATTTACCTCCAACGCCACCAACTTACAGCAGAAGGGTAAGAGAAGCTAAGAAAAGAAAATTAGAAATGACTAGCACAAATTCTGAAGCATTTAGGAGAGACAATTGCATCTATAAATCTGAAAGAAGAATAAAACCAATCGACAGAGTCAATTTCAGTTCTCCTAAATTAAGTCATAGTACTTCAGAACCATCATTAAATGATCTTTCTGATAGATTAAGCGCCTCAACTAATAGCAGTAGAAGATCTTTTCTTATAGGAAAACATATAAATAATAATATAATAAGTACAACTAAACCTCCTAATGAGGGATTAGTAGAAATAGAATATGACAAAGATTTAGTTATTAATTGTATAGAAAAACCAATATCCACTGAAAATCATGCTATAGAAAAAACAACTTTACCTATTTTTGGGCACAATATATTTATGGATAATCCATTATATTTGAATAAAAATGACGTATTAACAAATATTAGTAATATTAGACCCTTAAAACGAACTAGAAAGAAATCGAATGAATTTGAAAGTTCATTCAAATCTCCATCAGTAGATAAGAAAGACGCACATGTTTTACTAAGAGAAGGTTGTTCACCTGTTACTATTACTCCACTATCGGTTAAGTTAGCTGCTCTAAGATTTAGCACCATGAGTACTCACAGCAAATCACAAAGACCACTATTTTCAAACGAGGTGACTGAATATTTTCCAAAAGTTGAACATCCTTTTGCGATTCCTATAAAAGATGAAGAATGTTCCACAGAAATGGAAAACAAATTCATTTTAGGTAAAGATTCGTTAACGAATAGTACAGAGTCAACAGTATCAACCACACAAATGGGAGATGTAACTCTTGAAAAAATGATAGAAGATATAATAAAGAGTACAAAAATTGTTAAAACTAGAAGACGGATTTTACACCAAATTCCTGATAATCTAGCTGTTGAAGAAGAAATTCCGCCACTAGATGCAGTTAGAGATTTATTTGTTAATCCGCAGGCAGATAATAAATCTAATTTAATCAAAGAAGCTAAATATGTAAATCTATCAAGAGAAAATTCTGTATCACCCAAAAATACTCCAACAAAAAAGATAACAAAAATGCCAATACATAGAGTTAACGACAAATTGTTAAAAAATTTACCTATTGGTTGTTTTATTCTTGATGATGGAGATGGATATAATGAAAGAGAAGTCAGAACACCAGAGGATGTAATAGTAGACGTAAGTGCATCAAAAAAGGAATCCACTAATCAAGTAAATATATTACTCAATAGATCACATTCCATGAACTCTTCTTTATTTGACAAAAGTAATTTAAAGTCTAATTTATCTGAATCTACACCAGATTTATATAGTGTTACTAAGAAAAATTCAAATATTAGATTGCGAAGACAAAGATGTATTCGTAGAAAGAAATCTACTGTAAGCAACGAAAGTCAATGGAAAAGGGATAGTGAATTAAAATCTTCCTCATATCTTACCTTAGAAATGGGTATCCCCAGTCCAGTAGCAGAACTTCAAAATGTATCATTATGTCAACCTCTCAGTACATCCCATGACTGTATTGTTAAACCATCTTACAGCATAGACCACATCTCAAATGATATATTAGTTCGATCCAATGTATCTCATAGTAGTTTAAAATCTCAAGAACCTGATCAAAGTAATAGAAGATCCAGAGAACTCTTTGGGTTAACTTTAGAAAATGGTGTACCAAGTCCAATCACGCCTGTAGCTGGCTTAAAAAGAACAAGTAACGTTTTAAGTGAAGAAAGAGCGCATAAAACAAGTAAACTAGATGAAGATCTGTGTCCTTCTGAGGCGTTTACTCCAGTCATAGAGCACAAATCATCAAGGAGATGTTTGACGTATTCTCCTGAAGAATATAGTATAAATAGCAGTGAAGAAAAACGAAGAAGCGTCACAAGCAATCGATTAGAACGAAGCAGCGATCGCTCTCAATTATTAAAAGGAACAATAGACATAGAAATAATAACAAAAAACGACGTTATAGACGTGCACGGTGAGTGGTGACTATCGACTTTTTACTAAATAATGAGATTTTAAATAGAGTTAAAAATATTATAACTTTACATAATATTTTACTGCTTTCAGTTATCCGATGCCGAGATCTTCAGAGGTCCTCTGGGAAAACCGATGAAATTAATGCTTATGCGAAGGTAAATAAAATTGCTTTATTTTTCTCCAAAGACACTACTAGAACCTTGTATTATAAATCATAAAACATTTTACTAAGCTTCCATTTATGCATTTTAGGTTGTCATCAGCGGTATGACTGAAAGCCAAGCGCTATCATCCCAAAGATCTATTTTCCAAAGAACTTCAGTTCTTTACGGAAAACGAGAGCCTGAGTTTCAGAGACACCTCAAGTTACCATTACCTACAGCTGTCTATGATAACCAAATGTTACATATCTCGGTTTGGCATCGAGATAAAAAGTATCGGTAAGTTTACTTAAATAATATTTTAATCATTGTTTTGTAAATTTAAAAGTCAACTCTAGAATGTAAAGGAGAAATATTAGCTGATTTTTAACAAAATTTTGTAATTTAATCATTAATATATTTAAAAAAAAGATCTAAATTTCGTTTGAAAAGTTAAAGAGATAACTTGATGCACTTGAATAATTTTTTGTCAAAGCTATACACTGTCCTAAAATACGAGTATCTATTTTGACCTGCATAACATATTAATGTTCTCGCGAAGTAGCCACCTAGATACTTTCTGAGGGAAACTTGAATAACAAAGTAAGAAATACATTATTAAATTGGGTAACTTGGGCTTAAGTTGTATAGTTCAAAAAATACTTTGTATAAATAGTATATTTTACTCAGCAAAATAGGTCATCCACGTCACTAACAATTCAGTAACAATGCATAAAATATTTAAAGTGTAATATTTATATGTGACTCAAACTAATCTTTAAAAGATGCAGCGTTCTTATTCAATACAATTTGAAATATCTAACAACAAGATGTGCCATATCATAATTTAGAAGAATCTGCAGTGCCTAAAATCTATGTAAATCAATAATAATAGCTATAATGTTATGAACGTGAGAATGTTACCTAAGAGTTTGTCAGTAACGCGCACCCAACAAACAATAGTCACATATCATCGTTAAGGGAGCACTGCCATGAGGAGCGTTTTTCACTTTTTCCTCGAGCATATTCCGCTCTCATACATAAGATATTGGGAGTGACGCGGGGCGCGAAGGACATGCGCACAACGATCGATTGCTCCCCAGCGCAGACCCGGGCAGTCGCGTATCAGTCCCGCCAGGTGAAACGTACGCCGTTTTGCCGCGTTCATCCCACAAAAGTACGCATTGAACATTACGGTACAAGTGTTGTGTTAGTGATTGTGAACGGGTTCGGTGGATTTTATTTTTTTTAAATTTCCCAACACAGTGTCACGTCTTGGATAGTTGAGCGAGATTGGTAAGGGTCAATTTTTATCTTATCTATGTGTCTTTTGTTATTTTCAATTTTTTCCTTTATCTCTCCTTTTATTTTTTAATCGTTCTCTACTAATAATTATTATATTCCAATCACTTTATAATTGTATTATCCGTATGTATGTATTTTGATCTGGAACCTTAACCTATAAATTTGATAGCTATATTACTAATACATTGAAAGACTCGACAATGTCCAATTAAACCTAATGTCCTTTAAATATGCAACACACATGTTGAAATTAGTCCAACTATCATAATTGCCTATCTAACTACACCTTGTATTTCTTGACCTACTTTTCATTTGCCTTATCAATAGCTAGATTAAAATACCTACTACTTACTTTAGTTAATACATTTAAAACTATATCTTATACATAAGACAATAAGAAACCAAATATAATGACTACATTGTATAATAGGTAAAGAACAGTGCCTAATAATACAGTAGACAGTAAGGCCAATAAGGAGAAAGCTAAAGGAAAAACACTTTCCCTCTCTGCGTTTATTAATACATACATTTCCATAATGAATCTTATAATATATTCAGCAAAAATAGTATATCTATCTAGACTTATAGCAAAAATGCCCAGAACTGTCATATAAAATAGAGATGTCATTCGTTCAATCATTCATTCAATTCTAGTAAACGTAGCACCCGTCTATGTATGTATATTAAATTTTATCTACGTGTATAATAAATACATTTATTGTAATAGGATTTTTTCCATCACATAACCGACGCCCATTGACATAGGCCACAGATTACGCTGTGAACACCAATATGATTTTGCTGAAGAATTGTTGTTACATGTCTTATCTTCTTTGTAATTTCATAGATTTTTCCTATCGGAGCACCTAAATCACGTATTTTTTTCGAACTGAATTTGTTTCAAATTATATTCTTGACTTCCTTTGTGATTGTGCTTGTTCTATATGGGGAATTACATTGTTAGTGATATTTTTACTTCATTTCGAAACATTTCAAGCCGATTAATGAATAATAGTATGTCTTACAATAATTCCTCGTAGTTACGTTGCTGATGCAAATTCTGACTACCCGAATCAAAGCCGAAAGTACCGACATTGTTTTTTGTGCGTATTCATTAAATTTACATATACATAAACTGTTTTAAATATACTTTCTATATTATATTATACCAATATAATAAGTGTGAAATAACGTAAAATAGGTTTTAGCTTTAAAATTATGTTTAGCAATAATCGACTATTTCAAATTACTTTTTATACCTTGAAGTGACGCCTCCCAATTCCCTTCAGGTGTGCGGTCAGCGTGTTTTCCGCTCCTAATAGTATGAAGCTTTTGCAACCGTTCTACAGCAGAGATTATAGATTTCCCTTGAGGGTGTTTCACTAGCAGATACTTACCACATCCACAATTGCATTCTTTAACTCGCTTTGACTTTACCATTTCATAGTTTTTACTAACATACTCATCACAGTCTATTGACAAATTAATACTATCAAATAAAATAATATCATGAGTGAAATCAAAATTACTAATTGGAGGGGATTTTTATCGATAAACATACATCAAAAAACATCAATCAATATTCGGCTTCCTATATATTTTTTTCAATATATGATAATGGAATAGTAACCCCGCCTACACTAACGGTATACACTTGCGGGGCACCAGTGAGGGGTAATAGGTGAGAATGAAAAGGTAGGTCAGTTGGCCTACCGTGATGAATACACCTGGGATTCAAGGGGGATTTTTTTTGAGCAATCGACTTTGTACAAAAGTCGATTGCTTAGGTACCTCTGTCCCATTCGTGTTACGACCGTGAAGCAGTTGTGTTTGCATGGCTGTGTTTCGGTTTCAAGGGTGGGATATGGCGTGAATTTACAGGGTGCAGAGGAATATCACCTGAGTCCTCAGGAATGGCAACGCATAGGGGGTATCATGGGCGAAACAGTATACTCTGTTATGTCCATGGTACTGCTCATGTCTATAGGCGACGGTTACCACTTTACATCAGGTGGGCCGTCAGCTTGTTTGCCATTCTAAGTTGTATAAAAAAAAACTGGTTCTGTAATCGGTTTTATTGTTTGAGGGACACCAACTTGAATGATTTATGTTTATATTACACAATATCCCCTCAATTATGAAACTTTTGATAATTATTATAGCAAACGATTTGATTTATTGCTATCCTAATCCCATATTTCACCAAGTGCCAACAATTACCAACATCAACAGAATGTAAAGTTACACTTTGTTGTTTTACTAATTTAATTATTTTACTTTCACTTTCAATGTCAACGTACGAAGTATGCATGCGAGCCTGTCGTCTTCTAGATTTATAATTAAAAGTTTCAACAACAAACCACTTTCAATTACTTGAAAAGGAAAGTTGTAATTATAAACAACTAAGTCTAAACTCTAGTTTGTTCTATCAGCCATTAACTTGTCCACTGATGAACATAGTCTCCCCCATAAAGGGGGGGTTTACCAGTAATTGTCACGTTAATTTATTCATATATATATATATATATATATACCCGTCCAGTGGTGGATAATAAAAAAGACGACAATTATATTATATGTTCTCCACAATAGTGACAAATGCCTCTGACTACTTCATTAAACATTACAGTCGTGAGGATATTTTTTATTAGCTCTTTTTTAAATGAGAATAATGAACAAAGGCTAAGCAGAACTAGTACCCCTTTTTGGGAGTCAGTTAAAATATTTTCAATCTCTATAGATCTCTATATAAATTCTTATGTGTATAGGCGACGGTTACCACTTTCCATCAGGTGGACCGTCAGCTTGTTTGCCATTCTAAGTTGTATAAAAAAAATCCCATTTTCATCCGTTAAAGATTATTTTACTTTTACTAATATACAAGTATAAATATAAAGCCCTGCAACTTCTCTCGTGATGCAAGTGTTCATGAGCGACAGTAGCCGCTTCCCATCAGGTGGACCGTCTGCTCGTTTGCCTCTCTAACAATAAAAAAAAATACTAAACTCTCTTATATCAGGATTCGAAAGATTGTACACACATCAGATAACAGTTTGAGTGAATAGTCGCAAATCTCTACTATACTTGATGTCCGTTTAAAGAATGAGTTATAAAAGTGAACTAAGGAGGCCATTTATGTAATTACAGTGCTATTCTTTGCACTCTGCTGACCCCAAAAGGAATTTGAGCGTAATGATAGATAAATAGCTTTTAAATGAATCGTTAATGCTACAATGTGCTTTTGTATTTTACTGTAACACTGCACTACAATACTATATATTAAAAAAGTAGGTAAAATGATATTTTTTTTTTATTTCGGGCCTAATTTAAACAAAAACAACTGAAACTATTCCAAAGTTCAAACCGATAGCATTTGTTGTTACAGAGGCATAATACTATGACTAACAAACGGACAAACAAAATCGCCCTATAAAGGTTTAATATGTAATAGTATTTTAGGAAGGAAACTTTATAAATAAAGGCAATAACATTTATTATTATTATTAGGACGCAATTAATTTAATTTTACATTTAAAAGTAATATAAAAGTATAGATATATATCTCATCATCATCACTATCATATCTGCCATCAACTGTCCACTGCTGGACATAGGCATCTCCCTTAGAAAGTTTTGCCAATAGTTGCCATGCTTGGTGGGTGATAATGGAATGGTAATCCCACCCGCGCTAACGGTATACACCGGCGGGGCACCAGTGAAGGATGATAGGCAAGGATGAAGCAGGTCAGTTAGGCCATCGTGACGAATTCAACAAGAATTGTTAACGATTGTTTCCAGGGGGAACCACGTGAAGGTCGACCTAATAGGGCAATTTGCTAGCAATGGGGCTGTCAAACTCCATTGCTAACAATCCCTTTCCCCCCTGGTAGACGTGTTAGGCTTTGGTAACGTGTTAAGAGGGACGCTATTACCCATCCCTTGACTATAAAGTTCCCTTAATCGCCTCTTACAACATCCACGGGAAAGGAAACGAT